AATATATGTAAATGATCTCAATGATCGTATGCTAATACTTTGTTGTTAATTATCATTAATTTTAATTTTACAATGTATTTTAACATGGTTCAAGATGATAAGTGTTTTCCTACTTGAATATCGTCACTAACAACAATCAATGCCAATCATGAAAATTGTGAGAAACAGCAAACATAAAAAAACAAATGTTAATATATTACAATATTATTATATAACGAGAAATCTTATATTAATGTACAGAATTTTTAAATGTCAATGTCAATGTATACCAACATCTATACATTTTGTGCATCACTATAAATCTATATGTATTATAACATTCAGTGCATGGGCATGAAACCTGTACATTACCACGCTTTTTGCGAATATTTATTTATTTATTCTCAAGAAATATTCTAACACATTGATATCAAGAGATATTTGTAATGAAACGTTGAAAGAACCTGAGAGAATATTATTCTCATCAGGAAAATAAAGATAATCGCTGTGTAACGTGTTTAACAAACATTAAAATAGAATGCGTAAAAAATAAGTTATAGATAAAGAATTAGATTAGATTTTAATTCTTCGTATTTACTAATATTGATCGATGTGTTTCAAGTGTTCGAAAAAATGTGGCGAAGGAATTCAACGGCGATTGGTGACCTGCCACCGTGTCAATCGTTACGGATTGATCGATCATATGCCCAGTGATAAATGCCCGATGGATCAGAAGCCTAAATCTCAACAGTCTTGCAAATTACGAGAATGCGACGATAAGTATTACTGGCGTGCTGATCCGTGGAAGAAGGTGAGCGTATAATTTAAATAAAGGAGGCAAAAACAATTGAAAAATTAATTTTTACAATGAACTCGAACTCTAGAGATATTCGATTTCTTGACTCCATTTCGTTTCTCGAGTTCGAAATTCACCGTATTCGACAAATGAAAAGAAGAAACTTGTATTATTAACTTGCTTCTCTTTGATATATCGATTATAATTTATTTATGATAAAAAAAAAGAAATAGTCGCCACGAGCCACGAGCTTACGTTCGAATGAAATGGAGAAATTTTAATTACAGTGCAGTCACACTTGTGGCACGAAGGGTCGCAAAACACGAAGGCTGTACTGCGTGACCGCAGGCGGTAAGAAAGTGAACCGTTTCTACTGTTCTAAAAAGTTCAAACCGTCTCGGAGGGAAAAATGCAATGAAAGGAAGTGTTACGCGATGTCTTGCTACGAGGCGAAAACCTACTTCAATGCCACCAAGGATGGCGAGTATACTTTAGTCATGGCTGGGAGAAACATGTCGATTTATTGCCATGGAATGTCGACTTCTCAACCAAAGGAATATTTAACGCTGCCAGCTGGCCCCGAAGAGAATTACGCGGAAATAAATGATCAAAGGTTTGCACGAAAGAAAATAACAATCACCATCGTTGACAACGCCATGTGATTTAGAAATTACATACACCTACTTCCTGTTAACACGTTCCGTGCCATGTGTACCACCGGTGGTACACGTTAAAACTTGATCTTCAGGCCACGTTTACCACCATATTTCTAATAATATTACCACAAGTGATAGCTACTCTAAACAAG